CCCCGACCCCCATAATAATGATAACACTTTAGAACCTTTCATATTTTCTTATCGTCTCTTTTGACAGAACTACATACATATTCCCCTATGAAGTTCTTGAAGACCACAAGAACTGGTCTGTGGCCAAGGACAAGTTGTTGGTCAGTTTCGTCAATGAGCAATGTCGTGCTGTATCAACTTCTCCTTCACGATTGATGCCTGATGAGATAAACTTGGTGGAGACTGACCTTATTAGCGAACAGTACAACGAACTACAAGGTAATTGTGTTGATAGTACAGACACCACGGAGAGGGAGGTAGCTCAGTCGGGGACCAAGTCTACATTTTCATTAGCCATTCCGAAGTTGAGGAAAACACTGGGTTAAGTTAGCATTGTAGTGCATTAAGGGACTGTTTAGGGGTCAACATAGACGTCATCTTAAAATATTTTCCCTGATACAGTCCCACAATGCATTGCAATGTCAACTCGACCCAGTTTCTCCCCTCAACCTTGGAATGGCTAATATGTTATTCGAGTTCGCGTACAAGTTTGTTAACTTTTAAAATGTGGAAGTTACAACCAGGAAGTTTCCAAATGAATAAAACACCGAGTAAGGAAATGTCTGTGTTTTAAATTTTTAAACTGTTTCAAGCCAGTGACAACAAAATTAATGAAGTTTGCTATCTATACTAAGTCACCTTTTTCCACCACAGGTATCCCATTGCTAGGTGTCAGATCACGGTTTGCTTTCCTCAAGTCCCTCAATCAAACCATTGAGAAGCTTCTCCTCTCCACGACAGATCTACGTGCTGCAGATACCCACCCCTTGAGTACAGCTGCTTTACTGAAGCAGGCCAGTGGATTCATGTTCTATGACATCAAAATGGCTTTCTTGAAAAGAATGTTGGATCACTCAGATCATCGGGGTTCGTCACCCATGTCCCCTGAGATCTCGCTGGATCCACTTGAGACCCTTGAAGGTAGTCGTTCTTATTCCTCTTATAGCCAAATGTATAAATATCTAATATTTATATAAAACCTGTATTCGTAAAAAGCCGTAAGATTTAACAAAAAAAAAAAAGGCAAAAAAGAAAAAAAAAAAAGAAAAAGTACTGCTTGCACTCGGGTAGTAATTACGAATTAATAAAAGTAAGCTATATTTCTCCTATTTATCCCTTCTCCACGCATTCCTCCTTTCCTCCATTCCTCTCATCCCTTCTTGTATTTATTCGTTTATTCTTTCCTTCATTCATTCCATCATTTTGGAATTTTTTCTCCAGCTGATAAAGTATCATCATCAGGACCGCAGTTCTTCCAAGCCGCACGTTATCTATCCACCGTTACATCAGCTGGTCTGCGCGTAAAGGTGGCTACGGGTGGTGACCCAACTTTCCCGCTCAGGGTTCAGCTTCGGGGTGAACAAGTTCTGGGTTCTGGTAAGTACATTGTGCATTTAGGGATGGATAATTTGATAAGATAATTTGGGGTGGGGGGATGGTGTAAAATTCTGTCCCTCATCATCTTATTTATCTACACTCAGGGTCTTAAAATAACTGATGAGAAAGCGCGGCCTTTGTAATTGCATCTGCAAATGGTTAGACTTTCAAGTAGCTCGGATGACCACTTTAAATGGCGGTCCCGTCTCTCCACACTCATCATTACTAACCAACATAGAAGGGACGTAAAAGAACCACTGATGACGTAAAGAAACCCTGGCAGTAACCAACCTCAGTGCCTACACCTCATACTAACCATCTGGGCCCGATTGTACGAAGCCTGGGTAGCGTTATCTGACGAATAAATCTTATCCAGTGGATAAATTTATTGGATAACAGCATAAACTTATTCACTGGATAAGGATTTGTCCGCCGGATAGCGCTATCCAGGCTTCCTTCAACCGGGCCCTGAATTTCACTACTCAATGTAAAGCGCCTTTGATTATATTCATATAGAAAAGGCGCTATATAAATCATAAATCTTTTTCTTTTCTTCTAATGTTCAGGTGGTTCGTTTCGTCATTTTATGTGGCTCATGGCTCGTGAGCTGCAGGGACAACATGTCAATCTCCTCATTCCTTGTCCAAGTACAGCAGCCAATAGAAACAAGGTATTTTAGTCAAAAGAAAGTTGAGTTGCGTCGGTACTAAAGCATGAATGATGGATATGATGTAAGTAAGTTGAGTACCATATAATAAAAAAGTATACTTAGCTGACGTTTCGGACGTTAGTAAGTTTGAGTTAAGGAGCTACCAGTAGAGCTTTCTTACACGACAATCGTGTCGACTGGAACGATAGATTTGCTCCGCTTAGCCTCGCATTCAAGCCGGATTGAGAACGACGTTCCGTGGGTTTAAACAAAAGGTATTATTTTTATGGGAACAAGGTCCATATCGCAAGACAGGTTTTTAATACGTTAGGCAATTTCTGGTGTATCTTGCATTTYGTCTAGAAATATGATTACCTTTATAGCGACACCGCCTGCATTAGCCGAGTGTTTAAACTGCTCAAACACTCCTGATTTTTCAGGGAATGTTGATATTAAAACCAGGCAAGATGACTTATTCAGAGGAGAGGTCTTTAGTCTTCTTTGGCCAGGTGAGTTATTCACTGATTTTCCTGTCAAAAATCCTTCCTTGTGCCATAAAGTCATTATACACGATTCAATCAATATGAATAAGATATTTTTATGAATATCTTTGAAGCTGCTTGGCATTGCACTACGATCAGATATCCCGTTTGCTGTAGACCTGATGCCAGTGTTTTGGAAGAGTCTTCTGGACCTGCCGATAGACCCGAAGAACGACCTCCATGACACAGATATACTCACCTATAACTACATCAGAACATTCTCCGAGGTAACGAACAAGAACTCTCTTTTATGAGAACTCCTCTTTTTTGGAGGGTGGGGTCAGTTGGGGGGGGGGGGGCACAAAAAGGTTAACAATAGTATTACATTTTAGACATCTTTTTACCACATTTCATCGTAATTGTATTTGGGTACAATCGGGTACAAAGCATAGCGGAATTCACCACACTGTTTTATAAAGCTGATTTGTGCTCATACTGGGAGGAGGGGGGTGTTGTGACAAGGTCTAATTGATAATCAGATTCTTTTTGTGCTACTGTTTATCGTAATTGTTATTGTATTCAGGTACAAAGCAAGGAGGAGTTTACGACATTGTGTTATGAAGCTGATCTGTGCCCATATCGTTTCGTCTACACATCGCTGAATGGAGAGGAGGTCGAGCTGTGTCCTGACGGCGCCAATAAACCCGTAACGTACGTTACTAAATGTGGTACCATTTGACTTTATTCTCATTTCATTGTAAATCCTCTCTCTTCACATTTGTTCTCCTAACAAGAAGTTTAGATGAACGTACACAACTCCCTCTTCCCTCGTAAACAAATTTTGCTCGTTTTCCCTTATTCCTGGGTTCCAATCAGCTGACAAAATTATCTTTTCCAAAGGGTGGTCAAATCAAACACTGACTGTCAGTCACTGTGTGCTGTCAGCTAGAAAAAAAAATTTTAAAAAATGCACTGAATTCGAAACTGAATTCAGCTGATGAAAATTCCGCACGGGACAGGAAATGACGTCAAGTAAAACCAAGTAATAAGCGTTTCAGAATTTAGATAACATACTATTCTCTTGAATGTTATTTCTTTCTTCGTAACCCTAAGATACGTATAATATTGTACATAACTTACAATAAGACTTACTGCACCAAAAGTGGTCTGACATTCCAGTCTTACTGATTGCTCTGATTATTTTGTTTGTGTCGTTTAATCTTCTCTAGGTGGGAGAATCATCGTCAGTACGTTGATGCTATCCGAGATCTTCGACTCAAGGAGCTTCGCTGCACATCTCGCATGGCAGCGATTCGCTGTGGCCTCTACTCAGTAGTACCCCTACACGCTCTCTCTGTCATGCTGCCATCAGACTTACAAATAAAGACATGTGGACTCCCTACAGTTGACCTGGACTTTCTTAAGGTAACATTAGATGACCACATAATCATGTACCTGGGCGTTGGTATACCGCAAATGCGGCAACTGATTTTGGCTATAAAAACTGGATAGTGTTCTAGCAAGAGAATATGAACTAAGAGAAGGGATCCCCGTGCCCCATCATGTGCACACTTTGATGCTATTTTTAGAATCTATTCTAAAAATATCATCCAATGATATCATTTATTTGATCGTTTGATTTTCTGCACGCGCATAGTACGCGCGCGCTCTACGCTGTTTGCAACGTTTTCTTGTGTTTTCTTATGTTCAAATGGTAAAATCTGCCTCAAGATGACGATGTAGGTCGAAAGCTTTGGGAAATAAATGTAAAGATACTCCAGAAATTTGAACAAATTACTACTTCAATTTCCTGTCGTATTTGCCAAGCTTTCGACGTGCACATTCATATTCAGGGCAGAGTCGAAATAACGGAAAAACCCCAAAAACGTAAGCAAACAGCGTAGAGCGCGCGCAGTAAATGCGCGTGCAGAAAAACAAATGGTTTAAAAATAGCACCAAACTGTGCACATGATGGTTACAAGGCTATATAGGGGGGATTCCTTCTCTTAGTTCATTTTCTCTTGGTTCTAGTATTTTTTCATAGCTAGAAAGTTTGGTTTTCCTAACGTTTTGCGCGCCACATTGACGGAACTCTCTTTAGATTATCAAAAGACCAACATGAAATGACAAATGGGCCGTTTGGACAAGGGCGTCATTTTACCACCACTACCAAAATGCTTCGCGAATTAATTTCTTTTGATTTAAATGAATTTGTATTGCCTCATGAAACAGTAACACAACTGGTGCTAATAAACTGAACGAAAGAAAGGGTGCAGGGGATTCTGGTAGTTGTAGTTAATGACACCTTCATTCAAATGTCCTATTCCATTAGACCCCTTGCATTGATTTCCTAGAGGAATTATCACTGGGAGACAAAACAATAGGCTGTCTTTTCTTGTGCAAAAAACGTGCATTGTTTTAAACCCCAGAACAACTCCTCTCGGGACTCAGTACAAAGGGTCTATTCTTACTCTTTCTTGTATTATCTTCCTCGTCTTATCTTAATTTAGTCCAGGTGACACCAGTCTATGATTGCATCTTTAAGTAACAGGTGTTTTAGATTTCTCTCTATTTGGATGACATTTATTCTAGGCACATACTACGTATGTAGCAGGAATAAAAGAGACCGATGCTCACATCGAGTACTTCTGGAACGCGTTGGAAAGCTTTTCTCAGGTAATCCAAATTTTAGGCTTATGTTTCTGTGTGTTTTAGGGAACTCTGGAACGGTACGTTATCATTGACTTACCAAAAACATCATCGTTACGTCTTTGCCATTCAAGTGGGGCGCAATAGACCGCTTTAGCTTGTCAGGGCACGTCATTCCCTAGAGTATAATTTCTATGTTTAATGGTTGCACATGACACTAGACCATGAATATGGATACGACTCAAGCAAGAGAATGACTAGAGAATGRCATGTGATCTGAAATGGGAAAACATTACGCCCAAACAAAAGGTGTATTGGAAGTATCCTCAAATTATTTTGTCAGTTCCTTATCCTTAATCTATTCCCTTCTATCACTAAAATATGGGCGCATTTGAAAATTGAGTTTATTTTTGAAGTTTTCGTTTTTCTTCTAATTGTTGGTTTAAAGGACCAACTGCGCAAGTTTGTCAAGTTCGCCTGTAACCAAGAACGATTACCAAGTACTTGTACGTGTCAGAAAGGACATCCAAGTGAAGCTGATCTCCATGTTCCTCCTTATCCTATGAAAATTGGTCCCCCGGATGGGACAGGTCAGTAACAGTAGGATATTAGCCATTCCAAGATTGAAGAGACTGGGTTCAGTTGGCATTGTGGGACTGTTTTAGGTGACATATTTCCAAGATGGCGTCTATTTCGTCCCTAAAACAGTCCCACAATGCACTACAATTCCAACTCAACCCAGTTTTTACTCAATCCCGGAGTGGCCAATAAAGAATAAAGAATAACAGTTGAACGCATACAGCTGATTTTAACTTTTCCCGCTTATACAACTAATTCTGGTCCCCAAATGGTGAGTACAACTTTGTAGATAGCATAGTTGAGATGTACTTGACGTTCCGCCATTACTGTTATTGTACTTAGGTCGTTCAGATGTCAGATACATAAGAGTAGAGACTTGTATGTTCATGGTTAAACTTCCTCGATATTCAACACAAGAGATAACCACCCAAAAGTTACTGTACGCTATCAACTGCAGGGAAGACCCCTTGACTGATCTGTAACCAATCACAAGCTACTGTATGTCATCAACTGCAGGCCAGGCAAGACCCCTGATTGACAGATCTATAACCAATCACAAGCTACTCTATGGTATCATAGTTAGTAGAGGGGGACTAAATATGCCATCAACGAGCAGCAGAGATGCAAGAGACCTTGACTGTTCTGTTACCAATTACGAGCTACCGCAGATAGGACCCCCAGACTTGTCTACAACCAATGAGGGCCACTGATCTTTAATCTATTACAAACATTCGACCGCAGAGGGGATTGGATGGTGTGCTTTGAAGAGCAGTCATGAAGGACCAATAAAGACCCTTCAACTAATAGAAGGTGAATACCAGTCAAGTTTATGAAATCTAAAAAGGATATTCCAGATAAAATCACAATGAAAATTTGCAAAAATGAAAAAAAGTCTGAAAACAAAGCAAAGAAAGGACACCACAGCCTGTTGTCCTAAAGTTTATTCAATAGTGTACAAAAAAACACTAGACAAGAGGTGTCCTGGACGATTTTGCACGATTCAGTAGACAATATCAATTATAAAAAGAAAAAAAAACCTGACAATAATGGGAAATTTTTTTGAAAAACACTAAAAATACTACGCGCAAATCTTTACGGATATATGATATTTTTATTCAGAGTTTTATTTAAAGGAAAAAACGAGCAGCATGTCATTGTGCCTGTTCTGAAGGTGTGAATATTTTATAAATTAAATAAACCAAAGTTTTTCTTTATAGCGTCAAATGCTAAACAGTTTCATACATTAGTGCAATGCAATTTTTTTCTTTCTGATGTTCAAAGACGTCTGAAGCGATCTCTTTTTACTGGGAGTTTTTACATTCCAGAATGGTAATGACTTCCATCGATCTGTTCCTTGTGTCCTTGTAGAAGCCTCCGTATTACTCTTTCTTTACAAGATCCTTCACAAGGGTTCTATAGTATTGATGGATTGATATCATGAAGTCATTGAAATCGCAAACACATGGCGGCCATCTTGGTACGGTTATAAATGGCACCAACATTGCTGCGATGACGTAACGCGCAATCCATCTTGGTTCCCATGCATGTATATAATGATTCATTCCGCTTTTAAGACTTGTGGAGAGAATTTTTTTTCGAAACTGCTTTACAGTTAGTTATGGGGACTAATTTTTGCAAAAACAAAGATCTGAACCTCCATCTAATCGACACCTTTTCTGGAACCAATTTCAACCCATTTACAAAGATTAAAATTGTGCTTTCGTCAGGGGAGGGTTGGTCCTGAATTATTCTAATATTTAAATCCAATATTTCATTTTACTTTGATTGAATACCCTTCAAATCATCTTGTTAATTTTAGCAAATAAATTGCTCTAATTTTATTTTAATCAAAAAACGCTCCTTACATCCTGTCAAGGGTTGTAATTACATCTAAAGCGTCATAAATTTATTACATTTTTATTTACAAAGTAAATGTAACAAAATTCTATCATATAAAATCTCCCATCCAAGTGATGGTGCTGCAATTTCTAAACGAACCGTAACAGTATTTATTATTTATACATAACTCAAGATTAACTGGCTGGTAACAGCGAATGTCTTGATCGTGGCTTGCAAAACGCCAGGCAAAAAGCTGAATTCTAAAAAGTTGAATTTTAGTTACTTGTCTAGTGAGGGTCATCTTCTTCTTAGAGGACGCGAGCCATATTTACAGGTTTTTTAGAAGTGAACGTTATTTTCTTCGACTTGAAGGGTACTGAATTTACAAGCCTGTTTCGACTATGAAGATCGTCGACCGATGCTCCACAACATTTACCCAGAAGTCTTAAGAATGCTCGTTTCCACAAAGGGAGCCCAAACAAGGTTCCTGTGTACGTTTTATAAGGAAAGCTTTGGCTGCCAGTGGTTTCTATTGTGATCCAGGGAATTGTTGATAAGTAAAAAGAGGAATAAAGTAAGTTACCAAGAAGAGATATCCAGATTGACGCTCGAGAAATACTACTGTTGAGTTTGGATTCTCTCGAAACCAAAACACCAACAGCTTGTACTCGGGTGCTACATTCTGGACAAAGAGTAGAAACAGGATTCCAAGGTCGAGACCTTAACGACCTATATGTTGAAAGCGGGTTGCAAGCATTCCCAAGAGAGTCAAAAGAGAAAAAACATGGCGGCCATCTTGGTGCGGTTAAGAATTGATGCTAATGAGAAATCTATGGTGAAATGGCACCAACGTGGCCGCAATGACGTAATGTGCAATCGAAGAATTTAGAGGAGTATTAGAAGGATGAGTATTGATACATTTTGCTGAAGAAAATGAAGACGTATGGACGAGATGTAGTAGAATAAAGATATCTATAGGTCGGTCTGTCACTGTGTCTGACTGCCCTCGTTCTCTAATATAGTGATGAAGTTATCAAGTGTCTCTTCCACTGAGTCGTCTGGGATTTGGATTTCATCGGAGTTCTGTGGGAACGAAAAAAGACAAGAAACTAAACCAAGGTGACACTCATATTACAACAATAGAAATGTACATGAATATAAGACGTGATATAACGTTAAGCACGAAGCTATGGTGATAATAGTACTTACATCGTTTAACATGCCTATCAGTCTAGCTGTTTTTCTTTGCAATCTGGTTAGTCGTGTTGTAGTTTCTGCATGCTCTGTTTCCTTCTGTTGCATTGTTTGTATGGTTTCTGTCAGTTTTTCTGATACTTCTCCGTGCTTTTTCTGCATTTCTTCTGCTATTTGTTCCGATCTTTTTCCTTCCGTCGTTATTTTGTTCATAATCTAGAAATGAAAAAAGTGAGATTCGCAAATAAATGGAATGAAAATGAAATGAAAATTGAAAAAAAGAAATAAATAGGAGCAAAGATGATATCTTACCGTGCCTAACCCTTCCTCGTACTTGTCACAGAAGTCTTTCTGCAGTAAGCCAAAAGAATAAGTTAGCAACTCACTAGATGTTCTAGATATTCTTACACGAGAGATAGCTTACCACATTAAACTTTCTCAGCTCCCATATCGATAAGCTTCCAAGCTGCTCTTTTGTCAGTTGGTATTCTGGAGGTACGAAGAACTCTAACATTTTCCTATAAGTGACAAAAATATTAAATACATTTTAAAATGCAAACAGCAACCAAATGTACACAAGATTCTAGAGTTTACTGGTTCCTAGACGTCGCATGTTTTGATTAAGCTAGCGACCAACGACCTCTGTGTATCCCTCTTAACTATCGTGTATCCAACCAGAGTAAATACAGATTGATGGAGAAGAGTGCTCTGATCATCGAATGGAATAGCCAACTTTGGATATTCTGGAGTAGTCAAGCACAAAGCATTTCGAGTCGAGGCTCCGGGGAAATAATAACGTAAACGTCCCAGAACCTCGACTCGGATTGTTTTTTGCTTTATCTCTCAAACCAGTATATCGAAAGTTGGTTATTTCAAATCCATTATACTTTCTATAGGTTAAAACTGCAATACCACTACGATTAACATTTTCATTCAAAGTATGAAGCAACAAGTGCATTCATATAACCTATAAACAAAAGCAACACTAAATAAACCCTAAGATAGGGATCATGGGGCATCTTTTCTTCATTATGCCTTATATGATACTGTTTGCACCCGAGCTAGACCACAATGCATCATGATTATCGATTGGAAAAGCCCTATTCCAAGCCACGACCTCCTATACCTGGAGAGTTGTGCGACGTCTTGTAGCGCCTCTTCTGTCTCCATATTAGATGATATACCATTATCAGGTGAGCGAACAGGAGAAGCTTGTCCTTGCACGTGTTCCATGGTTACCGTGGATTCTATCGTGGTAGTACTGGGTAACTCGACCATGGAACTAGATGGAAGAGGTTGAGGAGATGGTTGTGGAGATGGTCGACTGACCGGCTCTGAAGGAGGTGGAATCGGCGTGGATTCTTTAGACTGTGAAGGTAAGAACCGATATTTGATTAAATGTAGTTAGTTTTCCATTGGGTCTAAAGCCCAACATTTCATGTGCGAATAATGACAAAGACGAAAGATAAAAGGGCTTTACCGGTCAAACTCAAAGTTAGACGAAAATGTGACGGAATATTCACTTACCCCGTTTATACGGATATGTGGCCCTGGGTAGTCATACCTGTTGAAATAAATGATTAAATAAACAAAGCAATAGCTTTTAAATAAAGTTCAAAGAGCACATGGTAGTGAAGAAATTTGGTTGCACCTCTGAGGCCCATGTCAAACGTCCGCGAACTTCACATGAGCCGAACCTTATTAAAACAATGGATAACAAGGCAGTCTTCTTTGATGTCATTAGGTTCGGCTCATGTAAAGTTCGACGTTTGATTTTAGTCTAAGGGAAACCTGTTCTTACCATTTATCGAACTTGTCACTAGGGTGTTGTTGGAACTTGACCTTTACTCGTATACCATCGGGTCTCTCCTTCAGACATACTACAGTACCGACATGCCATTTGCCATCATCGGTTTCACCTTCACAAGGCCGGCCCTGTAACGAGGTGATGTCTCCCTCTCCTTAAAGTAATCACATAGGAATCATTTAAATATGATATAGACCTCCTCGGCTAGGGCGTAACGTTTTCCCATTTCAGACCAAGTGTCATTACCTGGAGTATCATTTCTTTGTTTAACGGTTGCGTATGAGAATGAGACACATGAATGTGTGTCTTCTCATATACAACTCAAATAAAGAATCTTATTCTCAAGGGACTAACATGTGGTCTGAAAATGGGAAAACACTAGACCCGAGCCGAGAAGGTCTATTATAGAGGGCATGTTGGAGGATGTTCACGATAGACCCCTGCAGTTGTCGTGTCATCCAATATGGTCGCCATCGTTTCGTTCATTTTATTTTCCTTCCCTTCGTTCTCAAAAGCGATGAGGCCTCTATACATCGACAATGCAAAATTCACTTTTTTGTGGACGGGTCGCCGATAAATACATGACTCTAACCCAATAAACTGTCTGAAAATCTGTTAATACCTGGGTGTCCTAATAGTCTTGACGAACAACTCGATACAGTCTCTCCTTCACTACTCCAGTCCATTTCGTTACTATCGACTTCTGGTGTCTAAAAATAGGAGACAAAAATCAAAATCAGTCCTGATTTCTGACTTCCGAGATTTGAGAACATTTACTACTTACGCTAGCGACTACCTCTTCTGTTACGTCGCTCTTTCGTCGCTTAACGTTTTCATTCTAAAAGAGAAAAACAATGAGATTCATTAAATAAAATAGCTCGATATTTCAACATGCTGTGATTATGGTATAGAGGGATTCAGGGATTAATGAGCTTAATTACAATAGACCCTTTGCAATTACTGGTCATTCTTTTTAGCTACTTGTAAAGAACTGAAGGAAAGGATGTGTATCCACTGTGTTACGAAATGCAGTCTTATTATTACGATCTCTCGAAACAGGTTGTAGAAAGTTTGTTTGCAGTCCAGTAAATTTCACCCATGGGAATCAAAATGTTCATTCATTTGCTCTCAGT